TTTTTTAGGTAAGCTTAGAAAAAACAGAACTGGAAATACCCCAGTGGCATAGAGAACAGAATTCTACATAGGGTCCACTTCCTGACCCAGTTCTGTTGAGATTCACCCTTTTTGGAGGCCTTATTTAGGTGTGACCCTACCCTGGAGTCTTGCCTCACAGAACCTTGTAGAAGAGATCAGAGTTTTGGCTGGTGAATCCTGTTGTCTTTCTAGAGCTGGTGCTTACAATTTCCTGAAATCCAAAAAACAGATAAATGGGAAAATAAATTATGTGTTGTAGGATCTTGGTTTTTAAATTTTATATTAAAACCAGTGTTTGCAGAGACATTCTGTTTAGGAACTTGTTTTCCATTCCTGCATATCCGGTAGTTGCTCCACAAGTCACAAAAATGTAAATATAAACAGAATAAAATTTTCTGTAAACTACATTAAACTCTTGCTTTCCATGTTTCTTTCATCTGTCTATATTTAGCTTTAATTTTTTGCAGTTTTTAAAAAAATTTGACGGCAGAGAAACAGAAGAAGCAACAAAAATGCTGGGCCCTTTACCTAAATCCTGAAAATTATTATACACTTAGTACCAGCTCCCAGGGTGTTATGAGAATTAAATCACATAATGTGTTATGCCCAGCACAGTGTTCTGTATCATACTCTTGAGCACATAGTACCTGTTTAACAAACATTGCATTAGTACATGTGTACATGTTTTTTAAATCCAGACTTATTCAGAAACTGCTGCCTTCTGTTTTTTCTGTAAACTTTAAAGAACCAGCAAAGGCTACAAAACTTTTAGATGGAGATAGGTTGTCCTTATTTGTGCCAGAAGTATTTGGTTGTGACAAGAGTGCTGAGTGTAAGGGACCTTGTGCTGTGCCTGCTTCTCTAACTAATGCTAATAATGAGCCAAGGGGAAGCAACATCAGCATTGACAGGGAACTTGTTTAAAACACCCATTCATGGACCCTTTTCAGACCTCCGTAGTCACATTACATAAATTGGGGCCAAAATTACCAAGTGATTTATAAGCTTGTTAAAGCTTGAGAGAAAATGCTTATCTTGGTGATTATCAGCCGAGGCTTCTCATTAGGATCACATGGCCAATTTGCAGAAATTTCTTGTGCCCTCTTCACAGCTTCTGATTATTATTCTGGGTGGAAACATCCATGTTGTTTTATGAAGTCCCTTGTGTGACTCAGGTAAGACCAGAATCAAGTATGAGGGCTTCAAAATACATTCATGAGAGTTCAGTTCCAACTTTGCACTAAAGGGTGGTCACAGGGCCTGTTCTGTTTGGGTTTGGTAGGGACAGGTCAGTGTGGCGCTTATTTCCATTACTGTAGCAGAAATGGCTGGTGTCTGTGGCAGGGGAGAGCATCTGAGGACAGGAAAGATAAATTTATATTTTTATCTTCATGGAGCAGCTCATTGTTCCTGAATGTCTTCTGTTTTAAAGGACAGAAATGGGTGGACTTTTTCTATCTTTGTTTTTCTGCCAGTTGATGTCATGCTAACAGGTAAACATGTGGTACTGAAACCTTTAAAGACATATTCTCAAGATTCAGGTGTAATTTGTCTAGAGAATCTCATCTCAGAAGGAATTTCAGAGGAGGAGGAGAAAGAAAAAAAGTGGCTTTTCTTCAGGTAAACATGTCTCAGATGAAGAGCAGTGTCGACTCTGCCTCCTGGACTGCCACGCGTTTAGTACTCACAAACCTTTACTTCTCTACTTGTGTTTTTCCTCCCTAATGAGTTTGGTTTAATTACGTCTTTAAATTCTTATGACACTCAGGAGTCTCTGAAAAATATTTCTTTCCTGTATTCCAGAGCCTTCTCTTTATTCTCTGCATCATAGCTTCTTATATGCCATGTAGAATTCTCAGCAAGAATTTAGGATCTGCAATTTTTAAAATGTTCCCTTTGTGGCTGTTGAACATGAAAAGATGTGGATACTCAAGATTTCTATCAGGGAAAACTGTGGTCCTTAGTAAAGATGGAGAACATGTAATGATGAGGCTCCATCTGTGTGTTCCATTAGCTGTATGCAGACCAGGATTAAGAAAATGCTTATTTAGGCTAGGTGCGGTGGCTCACAACTGTAATGGCAGCATTTTGGGAGGCTGAGATGGGTGGATCACGAGGTCAGGAGATCGAGACTATCCTGGCTAACACAGTGAAACCCTGTCTCTACTAAAAATACAAAAAATTAGCCAGGCGTGGTGGTGGGCATCTGTAGTCCCAGCTACTCGGGAGGCTGAGGCAGGAGAATGGTGTGAAACCGGGAGGAGGAGCTTGCAGTGGGCCGAGATGGCTCCACTGCACTCCATCCTGGGGACAGAGTGAGACTCCATCCAAAAAAACAAAAGAAAAGGAAATGCTTATTTAAATGGGATGGCATTTATTACCCAGAAAGTTCTGAAAAAAGTTATTAGGAGATACCTGCTCTTTAGGGTGCTAAATGAAGCCTACTTAAAATTACTACTAAAAATTACAGAACGTAGCAGTCGTCTGTATTTTAAAGTTTGTATAAAACTGATGTTTCTTTTTTTTTTTTTTTTTGACACGGAGTCTGGCTCTGTCACCGAGGCTGGAGTGCAGCAGCCTGATCTCGGCTCACTGCAACCTTCGCCTCCCAGGTTCAAGCAATTCTCCTGCCTTAGCATGCTAAGTAGCCGGGATTACAAGTGCTTGCCACAACACTCGGCTAATTTTTGTATTTTTAGTAGAGACAGGGTTACACCATGTTAGTCACGCTGGTCTCGAACTCCTGACCTTGTGATCCTTCCCCCGCAGCCTCCCAAATTGCTGGGATCACAGGCATGAGCCACCGTGCCTGGCCTAAAACTGATGTTTCTTTATGGTTACATTCAGACTATAATTTATTTTTTTTTGGGAGGAATATTTCAACAGTGATGCTGTGTTCTTCCGTGTGCATTAGCACATCATAAAAATTTGTCCTAGGCTGGGCGCAGTGGCTCACGCCTGTATTCTCAGCACTTTGGGAGGCCGAGGCAGGTGGATCACGAGGTCAAGAGATTAAGACCATCCTGGCTAATATGGTGAAACCCCATCTCTACTAAAAATACAAAACAATTAGCCGGGCATGGTGGTGGACACCTGTAATCCCAGCTACTTAGGAGGCTGCGGCAGGAGAATGGTGTGAACTCGGGAGGCAGAGCTTGCAGTGAGCTGAGACCACACCACTGCACTCCAGCCTGGGCGACAGAGCAAGACTCCATCTCAAAAAAAAAAAATTGTCCTACTGAAGTTAATGGTTAATGATTCACTTGGTTAAATATCTCTGATATATTTTTTTCACTATAGAGTTAATTATTTTTCCTCTTTATTATTAAGTATCTTTATGCAGCTGATGTGCATAAACCATCACATTTAATCTGGCAACTGTCCTTTTTTTCCTCTACATATGTTTCCATGGTGAATGAAGGCCATTATGTTTGTTTACAGGCTAGAAAAAGTGGGAAAAACACAGGCTCTTCCACTTACTAGATGTTTGTCAAAATATCCTTCTTGGGCCAAAAACATTGGCATTACTGGTGAACTTATTAGAAATTCACAAAATTAGCTGGGCACGGTGTCTCCACCTGTAATCCCAACACTTTAGGAGGCCAGAGGGGGCAGATCACCTGAGGTAGGGAGTTCAAGACCAGCCTGACCAACATAAAGAAACACCATCTCTACTAAAAATACAAAAAAAAAAAAAAATTACCGAGTGTAGTGGAGCATGCCTGCAATCCCAGATACTTGGGAGGCTGAGGCAGGAGAATTGCTTGAACCTGGGAGGTGAAGGTGGCGGTGAGCCAAGATGGCACCATTTCACTCCAGCTTGGGCAACAAGAGCGAAACTCCATCTCTAAATAAATAAATCAATCAGACTTTACTCCAGATCTTCTGGGGGGGAGGGGGGGACCTGCATAACGAGGTCTTCAGCTTATTGTACATATTACAACTGTAGAGATGCCTTCTAACTCAACATGTCTTCTCCATCTGAAAAATATTCACAACTCATTCTGTATGATGTAAATATAGCACTCAAAAATATACATGTTCATGTTCTTGCCCTTAATTTTATACTTTATTATCTAGAAAAATACATGAATTGATGTGGATCTTATGCTGTTCTTTCTTCTCAGAGTTAGAGGATACATTAGATAATACTTCTGTTTTGAAATCATTTTATTGGGTAATTTTAGTCAGTCCTGTAAGTCAGAACCAGTTCTCTTTACTCGCTCATTTCACCTTAAGTCAAATTAAAAATTCCGCCCATGCCCACTTGGTAAAAATGTGTGTGTGTGTGTGTGTGTGTGTGTGTGTGTGTGTGTATGTTTTTCAGGGACCATTGCAATTTAGAGATGTGGCCATAGAATTCTCTCTGGAGGAGTGGCATTGCCTGGACACTGCACAGCGGAATTTATATAGGGATGTGATGTTAGAGAACTACAGAAACCTGGTCTTCCTTGGTGAGGATAACTTGAGTACATAATAATATACCCTAAATGTTTTATTTATTTATTTATTTATTTATTTATTTATTTATTTTTGTAGAATTTTTTTAGTAATTTATTCTTTGCATAAAAGAGTTTCAGATCCCCATTTTCCAGAAAATCTTCAGAATTTGTTCATTTAGAAAAGAATTTCTTCAACGTGTTCCATCTTAATCCAAACTTTCCACATTCCTGAGTTGAGCTGTATTCTTCATTCTAAATTAGTGGTAATTCCAGAAATTTAGTGGCATAAAATATTGTTGCCCCCACCTGAAAATCTGATTGCCACCACCAATTTTTGATTCAGTAGAACCAGATAGTGAAATTAAGAAACCTACAAGTTGAAAGTATTTTCTAATTATTTAGAAATTTCTGTTATAACTTAGTATTTTTGTATTAATTTACTAGCATATTTTATCACATTCTCTCTGCTGAGCACATTAGTAGCTTGTAATTGGAGAATATAAGCAAGATTTATGTTCTTTATTTTTAATAAAACAGGTATTCCTGTTTCTAAGCCAGACCTGATCACCTGTCTGGAGCAAGGAAAAAAACCTTGGACTATGAAGAGACATGAGATGGTTGCCAAATCCCCAGGTAGGTGCGAGTGAAAATGAATACAACAGACGACACAGATAAGGGGTCCCAAGGTCAAAGAGAAAGCCAGTCCTTAAAGTGTGATTTGGGAAGCTGTGTTCCAAAGGAAATAGTTCCTGGGCAGCTGGGTTGGTTTGTTTGTTTTTTCTTTTTTAATTTTGCTCTTACAAAGGAGCATCATCTGTCTTATGCTTTTAAATTCTCTAAGGATTTTCCTTTTCTTTCAGTGAGCTTCCTTCAAGTTCACAGTGAGAGCCAAAGTCCTCTTCATGGCATATAGAGACTGTACAGTGTGGCTGCTTTTCCTTAATTTTTGGGACACACAAATATCTGTATGATTTTGAGAAACTAAAATTACTCAAAGTTCTCTTTTTGCATCAGGTCTGAAATGTCTGAGAGTAATAGTTTCTGTTGAATTTTCTTTGTTCATTTTTCTGCACAGTCCATTCCGTTTTTATTACTATCTAGTCTTGAAATATATAGTTGGAAATTATAAGTATGACATCCCTCTGCTTTGTTATTTTTCCTCATGGTTGCTTTGGCTATTCAAAGTTCATTTTAGTTTCATGTAAATTTTTGAATTGTATTTTCCATTATTGTGAAAATAGTACCACTGCAATTTTAATTAATAGGAGGTTTATTTAATCTATAGATTGGATAATATGGCACTTCAATAATACTTATTTTTTCAATTCATAGATAAAATATTTTAAAATTTATTTGTATCTTTTCTAATTTTTCCTTTTTTTTTTTTTTTTTTTGAGACGGAGTCTTGCTGTGTCGCTCAGGCTGGAGTGCAGTGGCCAAATCTCGGCTCACTGCAAACTCCGCCTCCCGGGTTTACGCCATTCTCCTGCCTCAGCCTCCTGAGTAACTGGGACTACAGGCGCCCGCCACTTCGCCCAGCTAGTTTTTTTTTCTTGTATTTTTTAGTAGAGACGGGGTTTCACCGGGTTAGCCAGGATGGTCTCGATCTCCTGATCTCGTGATCCGCCCATCTCGGCCTCCCAAAGTGCTGGGATTACAGGTTTGAGCCACCACGCCCGGCCTTTCCTTTTTTATTGTAAAGATTTTTTACCTCCTTGGTTAATATTTTCCTCAGAAATTTATTATTTAATGGTATAGTCAATAAAATTTTTTTCTTCTTCCATTTTATCAGATATGTATGAAACCATAGATGTATGTTAATTTTATATTTTGCTAATTTACTGAGTATATCTATTAGTTTAGACAGATTTTAATATACTGTTTATGGTTTTTTAAATATAAGATTGTATGATCTACAAATAGCATTTTACTTATTTTTTAATTTCAGTTTTTTTATTTCTTTGAGTAATTCTTCTGCCACATACTTCCAGTGCTACATTAAAATAGAAGCATTGACAATGGGCACAATATAGTTTTGTATTGGTATCTGAATTTGATAGAACAAACACCTCTTCAAGTTTTCATAAACTGATTTTAGAAGGTAAAGATTTTCTTTTATTGGGCCCTTAGGGTGATGAGATGCCCTCTGAATTTGTAGTGAAGAGGGGTTGTAGCTTGGTCACAAGGATGCTGGGTCTCCACTAGGGTTCACCTTCAGTTGGCCTGTTACGGGGGCTTGGGTAGTTGTAATTTCCATTTTATTTTTGGACAGACTGCATATTTTTAGGACTTTGCTCTGTAGCGCAGACCTAGGGCATGCTTTTGCAGTCAGGTCTGCATATGCTGGGCCTTAAATCAGGATGTGGATGAGTGTGGCTTTCAGTAAGTACCAGAGAACATTTCCTCAGGTAACTGTGGGTTTCTATATAGGCAGAACTGACTATAAACTGTGGCTCACATAACTGAAACTGAGTCAGTGAACTGTTTCAGGAACCACGGTAAAGGCCAAAGTCTGCAGGCCTGCCTACATGGCTGTAAATGGGTGCCTTCCTCCAGGTCTCTGGCAAAGCAAGACCTCTGCCAGACCGGGGCTGGGAGGAGTCTGTGGTGGTTACAGAGTAAGTTCAGAATTCTCTGTGGGACCAAGTTGGGTGAACCCTATCCTGGTCTGTAGCCAAGAACAGGGGTCCTGTAATTTCCCACCTGAATGAGGGCCTGCCTTCTGAATAGAACATGTCTCGAACTGAAGCTTTAACAGCATTTCACAACTCCATCCCTGGATCTCAAATCTCTCTTAGAGGCACTTATTTTGGAGATGGCGTCTTGCTACATAACCAAGGCTAGTCTCAAAATCCTGGCCTGAAGCATTTCTCCAACAGTAATGTACCATGTAGCTGTCATTACAGGTGTGAACCATAATGCCTGGTTCTCTCATAAAGTCATTTTTGGTCAGGGATGGCTGACTTTTTTTGCTTTAAGGGGATATGAAAATAGAGCACTTTTATTCTTTTCATCTTACTGATGTCACTCTCCTTATACATTTCTTTCTTTCTATATTCTCTTTCAAATTTGTAATTTTAGATTCAGATATTTAGACAATATGCTAGAATTTGCATGGTATGCCAAAAGTAAATTAGATAATTAGTAAGCACTCCATATTTATGAAAATAGTTACTAAATGGTTATAGTTACTAAATATAAATAGTTACTAGTTATAAGTAGTTATAAAATTATGGGATTTTCATCTACTTTCTTCACCCTGTATATAAATAATAACAGAGTTTATTTCCTAATATTTGTTTTACGTATCAGAGGGTCTAACCCTATTCTGCAAAATATATATATATGTATTTTCTATATTTAACAATGTAAGGCTATTCTTTGCTTCTAAAGTTGGAATACAGCAGTTTTGTGTAAGAATAACATATATTTAAAACATAAAAATCAACTCTAGTTTCTTTTAAATGCTAATTTATTAAAAGTTTCTCATTAGAATCTTTTTATAATTATACTGCATATTCTCTGAAATTTTACTGCCACACAGTGCATGCCAATGATTCAAAATACCTGTATATGATGAGTACATAATAACAGTTAAAGATTGCAGTTACCTCAACAGTTTTTTTTGTTGTTGTTTTGTTTTTTTGAGGAGGAGTTACCTACCCTCTCTCATCCAGGCTGGAGTGCAGCAGTGAGATCTTGGCTCACTGCAACCTTCACCTTCCGGGTTCAAGCAATTCTCATGCCTCAGCCTCCCAAGTAGCGGGGATTACAGGGATGTACCACTGTGCCTGACTAATTTTTGTATTTTTAGTAGAGATGGGGTTTCATCACGTTGACCAGACTAGTCTTAAACTCCTAACCTCAGGTCATCCGCCCGCCTCAGCCTCCCAAAGTGCTGAGATTACAGGCGTGAGCCACAGCGCCTGGCCTGACAAGTTTTTGTAATGATACTTCCATGTGTTATACCAGATTTTATGAGTAAACATTTATCTTACTGTTTGAAGTTCTGTATTAGCGTGTTTTTTCAGTGTAGTTTTTTTGTTTGTTGTTGTTGTTGTTTTGAGAGGAAGTCTCACTCTCTTGCCCAGGCTAAAGTGCACTGGCACAATCTCAGCACATTGCAACCTCCGCCTTCCGCGTTCAAGCCATTCTTCTGCCTCAGCCTCCCGAGTAGCTGGCACTACAGGCGCGCCACCATTCCCTGCAAATTCTTGCATTATTATTCGAGACAGTGTTTCACCATATTTCTTTTTCTTTATATAATTTTATTTATTTATATATTTATTTATTTAGACATGCAGTTTTGCTCTTGTTGCCCAGGCTGGAGTGCAATGGTGCGATCTCAGTTCACTTCAGCCTCCGCCTCCCGGATTTAAGCGATTCTCCTGCCTCAGCTTCCACATTACAGGTGCCCGCCACCATGCCAGGCTAATTTTTTGTATTTTTAGTAGAGACAGGGTTTCACCATGATGGCCAGGCTGGTCTTGAACTCCTGACTTCAGATGAGCTGCGCATTTCGGCCTCTCAAAGTGCTGGGATTACAGGCGTGAGCCACCTGCCTGACCTCATTTATTTTTGAAATAGGGCCTCATTCTGTCAACCAGGCTGATTTGCATGTCTCACTGCTATCCAAACCTCCCAAACTCAGATTGTCCTCTCATTTTAGCCTCCCAAGTAGCTGGGTTACTAGTATGTGTCATCACACCCAGCTAGTTTTTTGTATTTTTTTGTAGAGACAGAGTTTTCCCATGTTGCCCAGGCTGGTCTTGAACTCCTGGGATCAAGTGATCAGCCTACGTTGGCCTTCCAAAGTCCTAAGATTACATTTTATTTTATTAAGTACTTTAATTAATTTATATTTAAAATGATTGCTTAAAGAAATGAAGTTGTTATTTCCCATTATATTGTGATTGTTTTATGTGTTTCTAGTAGTTTTATTTTTCTCATTTCCTGCTTTACTTTCTTAATTTTTATTTAATTTTGTACTGGCATGCATTATTTTTTACTTTCTTTTGCATATAGTCTATAAATATTATCTTTGTAATCATCTTGAAAACTGGAGATTACCTATATCTTTTTTTTTTTTTTGAGACGGAGTCATGCTCTGTCGCCCAGGCTGGAGTGCAGTGGCCGGATCTCAGCTCACTGCAAGCTCCGCCTCCCGGGTTCACGCCATTCTCCTGCCTCAGCCTCCCAAGTAGCTGGGACTACAGGCGCCCGCCACTTCGCCCGGCTAGTTTTTTGTATTTTTTAGTAGAGATGGGGTTTCACCGTGTTAGCCAGGATGGTCTATCTATGATGATCTTAAATGTGGATAATACCAATATATTTAAAGTTAAAACAATATGTTTTAATTTTATAACAATTTCAATTTAATACAAAAGCTATGTCTCTATATTTTCCAGTTATTATATGGTATATTTATTAACAAATTTAGGCAGAATTTTTTTTTTTTTTTTTTTTTTTTGAGACAGAGTCTCACTCTATTGTCCAGGCTGGAATGCAATGACACAATCTCAGCTCACTACAGGCTCCACCTCCCAGGTACAAGTGGTTGTCCTACCTCAGCCTCCCATGTAGCTGGGATTATAGGTGTGCACCACCACGCCCGGCTAATTTTTGTATTTTTA